TTAAATTACTTGGAGTAGAATCCAAATTAGACGAAATTGTAGCTTAGCTGGTGTGTCTCTTCCACTTGTGTATGGAGTTGAAACACGTGGATGATCTAAAACCAATATATGGACAATTTGTCTAATTTTGAGAAAAAATTACTTAAACAAATCAAGAATCAAATTCATGGACAAACTCTAAAACCAACAAAACCTTAAATAGCTCGTGTGCGCCACTATGAAAACCATCCTAAGAGAAAAGGTGCATAACGACGTGTGCCCACGGGCTATTTAGGGACCTTCGTGGCAGTTTTTCTATTTTGCTTCAAACTTTATTTGGAAACCAATTTTTGGACAATTTTTTTTTTTTTTTATCTATTTTCAACCATTACAAATACTGAACGTGGTCACATCATTGATGACTCTCTCATACTTCAATATACATCAAGTATTATTATCAAAGGGAGGCGAAATTCATAGTTTATGTGCGAAAATTGAAGAGTAATTGTAAGAATTCATTCCATTGAAGGTTCAAACTTTGTTTTTGGGCAAAGAAGAGAGAATGTGTAAGTAGAGATTCATTAAAAAATCGTTAATTAAAGAGATTCAAAATTTCAAGTTTCATCTTCATCTTTACAATTTATCAAAAATTCGAGTGATATTTTACAAATTAATAATGATTTCTTATAATTTCGCAATTTTAAGCTAGATTTTAAATTACCAAGATATAGATGAACCCTTATTAAAAATTAAATATTTTGACATCCAATATGTGTGATTTCTTATATGCTTGTTATTATGTTTAATACTTATCAATTAATTGACCAATAATTGGAATGATTTGTGAATTTCATTGATTTTGAGAAAAACGATAAAATAGATAGCATTTATAACAATCATTGTAAAGTTCGATAAGGGATAAAGATATATGGTTATACTTTGCATGATTTCTATAAATGTTCTAACATTTTTAATGCATACTTTCATGGAGTTATAGAAAGATCACATGAGGTGATAAATTTAATTGACATCGAGATATGCTTTTAACTAATTTAGGAACATTGATCAACAAGAATGCATACTCATTGTCATGATATTGATTTGCATTATCAATGGATTAATAAGGGGGGTTCGAAGTCTTAGTAATTATCCATATAATTTATAAAAACCTTCATAAATAGCCCAATAGATTAGTTAGTAAATTAGTTGATTAGCATAAATTCATAAAATAAAATTTGCTATTCGATTAAGGATAAGATTAATTGATCTTTGATTAAATACATAATTCTCGTGGGAACGATGCTTTATTCATTACTTTATTACTTGTTCGCAATATCGTACACTTGCGGGAACTTAAACGATCACTGAACTTGTTCGAATTTGATATGCAGAGTTTAAATAGACTTCTTTGACAGGTGAAATTAATGTTGAGTTCATACAAAAGTAAGAGTTTCCAAACTAAAGGTAATGTTAAGCACATGTGACATTCTTCAAGACTACAATTTTTCCAAAATTTGTAAGTAGATTAATACATTGATTAGAGTTATAGGATAATAGAGATGGCAAAAATGGCATGGTCTTGCTCCATGTTGACATGCCCTATTTGGGAATCGAGTTGGGGGCTGGGACTCCTGTTTATATTTTTAAATTTATTCATATTTAGAGGAAAAAAAAAAAGTAAATAAGACGAAAAATAAGTCATTGTTTGGTAGAGATTAAAATTACAGTTGTACTACATGTACTAATAGTTTTACATAATAGTTTACATATACCTGATCTGGTGATATATGGTTGAGTCAAGATTTCTTCAACTAAATAAAAAAGAAAAAAAATTATTACTCTCTTTGACACATCATTTATATGTAAACTATTATGTAATTGTTTATGTACAAATAACATTATTCCTAAAATCAAATTTTTAATAGATTTTTATAAAAATTGATGAAATGTGGGTTGAAAAGTCGTGGGTCCCATAAAAATGTATGGTTTAAAATTAATTGTTGACTTTAATTTAGAATAAAATTTTGATTTTAATCAATACCAAACTTGGGCTAAGAATATTACTATCGATATTGCCTTTGAAAAATCGTGACAAGACGGAGGATGGAGAGGCCATCCCACTCATTATATTGGCATTTATTAATAATACTCATACTTGAACGTGTGTTGCACGTTATTTTGAAATAATTTATAGATAATATAAAAATAATATTATAATATGTGAGAATATAAAAAATAACCAATACAAATTGTTTACGTAGAATGAACCTTTTATTCAAATGAAATAAAAATCAGTTTGTGAAAACAATTTAAACAATTGAAAAGGTCAATTAGAATAGTCCTTCATGCATGAATGTCATCATTTCTTTATATTTGCTTAGTATGCATTGAATATATCAATTGAAATTATTTATTATCGATACGCATTATGTCCCACATTTACCTTCTCTGTATCTTAAAATTAGTTGAATAAATCAATTGGAAGAAATTATTCCAATTTTTTTTTTAATAAATTTAATTTACAATGCAATCAAGTAGAATGAATCCGTCACATGTACATTGATCATAACTAAATAATTGACTAGTTCATGATAATATTGTTCAAATGATTAAATAAATCAAATATATATTGAAAAACAAAAATGTAATGAATCTGACAAATATGGTTAAAGAAATTAAATATATATTGAAAAACGAAAAGTAAGATAATGAATGTGTCAAATGTACATTCATTATAACTAAATAATTGACAAAATA